GGGAGAGAGAGAGAGAATCTCATGAACTTGGGGCTTGGTCTCACACACTGTGAGATCATGACCTGAGTGGAAATCAAGAGTCGGATGCTTAGCCAACTGAGCCACCCATATGCCCAGTGATAAAATGGACTTCTGAGTAAGACTTATAGAAACTGGTCTCAATATTTAGTTACACTAATAGTGGTGAATCAACAGTATACTTTGCAATAAGTGACACAGTACTTATTTTTGTCTAAGCAACTTTTCCACAATGTTAGCCTTTTCTCTTGGTTGGAATCAGTCTTCTGCTATCTTTACTCCTAGCCTAGTTTTTTTATGTCATTCTTTTTAAGGCAAGTGGCTCAAAGGTGACTGTAAATCTACCAATGGTTACCTGCCGGGCTATTGATGACAGATCCTTCCAAGCCTTATATATTAGCGTGGAACCTGTGGAGTACGGGCAATATTTACACTCTCAGATTTTTTCCTACTCTGGTTCTCAGGTACATCAGGCTCCATAAGCTAAATGATGTAAAAGTTAAAAATAAATAAGCTGCTGTGACTTAAGAACTAGCAGGAAAATTACACAGAGAACGAAACAGCAATGTTGGTGTTGGGTTGTAAGAGAAAGAGTAACAGCTGACAGTTATTGGGCACTTGGATAGGCCGTGCACTTGGCCAAACACCTAACGTACATTATCTCATTTAATCAATCCTTAAACAAGGTGGGTAGGCACTATTCCTATTTCCATTTTACAGATGAGGGCTGGCACAGAGACATTAAGGGATTTGCTTGGTTCCACAGCTAATATATGGCAGAGTGGAGATACAAACCATGATCTGTTGGACTCACTGCAATACTGCCTCCCTGAGAATAGTTTGATGAAGTTTTTTTTTTTTTAATGAAATTTCCATTTTTAAGGGAGACAAACACACTATATCCACTTCTGTCTCAAAGTTGTATACAAAGTACTTACATGGTATACTTTTTGTTTAAAAAAAAATGAACCCTTGAGGAGCAATGATTTCAATCTACTTGGTTTAAATAAAACTCCCGTTAAGAATTTAGTAATAG